GCTGCGGACAGGACGAAGCACACATGCAAGAGTGAGACATGCAACGGTCAAGCAAGGCACGCGCTCACTTCTTTTCCACAGCGGACGGAGCACACGGACCTCAGATCAGCCGTGGAGGCGATGACAGACACGGCAAAAGTGATTGCGGTGCCCGCGCCCGTACACCGGACGGCCGCATTGGTTGAAACAACCCGGCGTCGGGCACTGTACAAGACATGGGGGCGGGTGAACCACAGTTGGACGGGCAGCCGGAAAAGACGGAGTTTTAGCCTGCGCTTTTGGCGCCGCAGCATCCGGCGTGACTGCCAGTGGAAACCCTAGCCCGTCCAGCGGAGTGGGCGGAGCATGCGCCTTTGGCTTGGCCGGTGCCGGGCTCGCAGGCGGGAAAGACGATGCCGAAGCTTTAGGACCAGAAGGCGTGCCCATCCGCATGCACAAATGAACAATGAGGTCGCGAGTGTCAGGACGGAGACGGGATAGTTGGTCCACCAGCTCAGATCCTGTACTGACATCCCCCACAGTGGCCCAGGAGCCCGGATTGGTCGCGGGACTCCGCACGGAAGAGGCGTAAGTGGGCGATGCAACAATGAAGCCGAGGCCGGGGGCCACGGGAGACGAAGCCACCGGGGCTTGGTTGCCTGGGTCCGACACGCGACCGTCATCCGATTCCTCAGGGCGGAGCGACGGGGTCGGCTCCGGGCCTGGTTCGGACACGGCTGCGGCGCGCTGCATGAAATAGCGGCCGGGTGGGTCGAAGCCACCGGAGGCCGATGCGTTGCCCTCGAACGCCATGACGATGAGAGACGGGGGCAAGTAAACGTAGCACAAATTCCCAAAAAATGGCTGCGGACACACATGCGCTCATGACAGAAAGCATGACGAACAAGAAACAGACAGCGGAAACAGTTCGCTGGCTTCTTTTCACTGACCCGCGACGCTGAGTCAGTCTAGCTGCGAGAAACGGGAAAAGCAGGCGCCGCGGAGGCACAACACCGAACCAGCGGGCGGACCAGACAGCAGGGGTCCGGAGACCATCTGGCGAGTCTGCGCCCCACAGGCTGGTCGGACATGCACAGCGGACCCGTCCTGTCGCAGCATACGGATTGAACGGAGAGCATCCGGGGCACAAGTCTGATCAAAGTGCACTACATTGCTGCGCAGATTATGCATAAGCCAAGGGGCAGAGGATGCCGCCTTGATGGCCGCTTTTTCAACCAAATCGGCCTCCCAATCCTCAGCCTCGTACTCCTCCGAAGACAGTGACACAAGATCATCCTCGGCCGAAGGAACCGGGAGCACCGGGATCGTCGGGAGGGGAGGAGGAGGATCTCTGGCACGGGAGGGCTTGCAGCGGGTGGCGAGACGGGGACGTCGGGGAGGCAATCAGGCGGCAAAGCAGCCGAATCCAAAGACGGCAGCGTTCCAGAAGGCAGAACCACAGGGAAATCCGCCACGGGGGCCTCAAGACCACGGCCAACGGGTTGCAAAGGACGGAAACCGTTGCGGAAGGCCGCGACCACACGAGCTTGTAACCGGACCATAGGAATGATATCATCACGGGAATAAAGGGCCACGGAACGGTCGGCCCCAGAAAGTCGATGGTGCCCCTGAATGCGACGGATCGGATTCAATGGAGAGCTGGCGGGCCCAACTCAACATAGTTGCCTTAAGGGACTGTGCAGCCACCAAAGAGAACACGGACGGGAGAGGCTCACGGGAATGCAAAGACCAGTGCTGACACAGCAAGTCCCGAAGCCAGGGAACGAAACCAGGGCTCGGAGATGAGTGGACGGCTCTCGCTGCCGGACAGGACGGCCGGCAAAAAATCCAAAGCGCGCGTAGGCTGCAGAGCCAGCGTGTCGGACACCGACTGGCGTAGGCACGATAGGAAACGGAGCGCCCATGAAGAAGCAGACGATCCCAGGAAGCCGTGCACCAAAAGGCCCCACGGCATACCTCGTTTTGTGGTTTTCGTACGGACGGAAACACCGACAAGGGCCTGCACGGACAGTTGGTATTGCAGTCGGGCGGGGGGAACCCAAATAGAGTCCCCCCAGCGAAGGGAAGCCCAAACGCAGACAAGCACAAACCCGAGACGGAGAACCTGAGCCGGGGAGGTGTTCGGATCAAGCACGGACTGCTCCAGCCACACCACAAAGGACAAGCTGAGTGGCAAGCTTTCGCGGTGCTCGGACGGGGCAGAGGCAACGGCGAAGGCCCGGCACAACGGAGATGACAGAGAGTCACGCAGAGAAAGCAGGCCGGCCGTTTTGCACATCCAAGCCAAGGCCTTAAGGGGGGCGGTTGCCAGGCCCTGGGCACTAGCACGAGACGCAATCCAGTCGGGAAGGAAGCCAGGAGGCGGGGAAGCCGGGTGAAACCCCGCAAGTTCACAGTGACGGGACCAGGAAGACCATTGGTCAAAGTAGCGCTCCAAGGTGGAGGGTGCGAACTTGGCGATCGCCCGGGACATGTGAGCCTCCGGGTTGGAGGAGGCCTGGCAGTCAACAAAAAGTGCGGATGCGGAAGCCAGCGCACACAGAATGGCAAACCAGCGCGCGGACAGTGCATGCATGGCCAGTTGGACACGGGCCGCGGTAGACATGGCAGCGCCGGCTTTGGGAGCAGGAGTGGAAACAGCAGGCAAATGTACAGAAGCAGGGGAAACGGGTTGCAGCCGAGGCCCCGGTACTGGTAACACGCCGAAGCCGAGGGCAAGCGCGACACGGGTGGCAACAAATGCGCCGGCATGGTACCCCGAGGGAGAGACGGAGCTGGAAGCGCCGAAGAAACACAAGGCGGTGAGAATGAGAAGGTCGAGGAGGAAACGGGAGTATGCAAGGAAGGGGGAGACAACGATGTGCATGGGCGGGCCTCCTCGAAGCCACGCGGGCGGTAAGCAGAGTTGGGGCGACCATCAGCCCACCGCCGAGGGCAAGCAGCAGGACGCGGAGTTGGAGCCGCGAACGCAGGTAGGCGGGCGGCTCGAGGCACAAGTGCGCGGGGCACAGCAGCCGCCAAAGCCGGGCGGGCACGCAAAGGGTCCGAAGGGGCAGCCGAAGAAACGACCTCGAAGCCGCTCACAGAAGAAGAGCCAGGTTGAGAAGGCGGAGTATCAACCAGAGGCTGAGAGGGAGAGGGCGAACGCAACGCATCGTCAAGCCAGGACGCAGAGTCACGGCCGCATTGCAAGGGCGAGCGCACACAACCATCCGGACGCGGGGCACGGACGGGTGACTGCAAACGGACATCGGAACTAATGGCAAATAAGGAGCCTGCCTGCAAAACTTTGCGCAGCTGCACGGCAGCGTGACTATAGGCCTCAGAGACGGCGATCCCAACCTGGACGGCGAAGACGGTCGGTGGCAGTCCTGACAGCAGGCACAGATAAGATAAGCTCAAGCACAGAAACCGCAAAGGCAAAAGGAACCGAGCTCGCACGACACATTTTCCAGCGGAAGATGCGGTCGGGCGGAGCTCAGTGGCCCTTAAGGCAATTGATGAAGGCGTGCTGCTCATGAGGGGCCCTTTCGCCGTACATGACCGGGCGGAGGCATAACCCCACACAGCGAAAGCCGTGGGTGTTCGCGGAATACCGGTCGCATACATGCGAGCAGTATCCCCGCACCGGAAGATGTGAAACGGGCTGGGGCGGAATCTGTCGCTCAAGCCAACTCGGGTGGTCGGCCGGGCGGATACAGAACAAGTCTGCATACGGCCAGTAGCCCGGGCGGCGAATTGTTTGCGGAGATAGCGGAAAGTGCGAGCAAACACGGATCCTCCACCCTTCACGGTTGGACCACGGACCATTGTCAGCCATGGCGCGCGGGAGGGGCGGAGCGACATCCACCCACTCGTAGGTGTCCGGGGCCAGGTCGGACGGATCAAGTTGGCGTAGCCATGCCGGGTTCCAGTGCTCTTGGTTGCCCAGATTGGGCAACGGGCCGCCCTCAGCATAGCCAGATTGGCGCGTGACTTCGGGCGGGTGAAAGTCTGGCACCGTCGTCGAGGCGGGCGGACCATCATCACCGAGGTCGAGGAGGTCGGAGTTGCCACCACCAGCGGGCGGACCAGTCATGTTGGTGTCCGAGACCGTGGGCTGGGCCGGGTGCTCCATGTCGACGTCGGGCGGAGGGTTCTGGAACCGCAGCGGGGTAAGGCCAAGCCTGTCGGCAAAGGCGGAGCCGATGAGATCATGGAACCTCATCAGATCCTCCGGAACCAGATCACGGAGAGCCGGCCAAAGGGTCTCGTCCGGAAAGGTGAGAAGCTCGGCGAGGACGTCGGAGACGGGCGGCAAAGCTGCGTGTCCTGGTGCCACCGTGGCTGGAGACGGGACGGACGGGCCGGGGCCAGTCATCGCCGCCGCAGCACTGGACGCAGGACCGGTGGCCATGATGCAGCACAGAAGCACAAAAGAACTCAAAGATCGCGAGGGATGCTTGAGAATGCAGCTGCGCAAGGTCGCTCAGGGCTGAAGCAACCAACACGGCAGGCAGCAAAAAAGGACAAACCAGCAAGGTGCAAAGTCGGTCCTCGGGCGGCATAGCAGGAGATCGTTCACTCGCGCGGGGCGGAGTAGTGATACCTGCAGCCGGAGAAAAAAGGCATGAGCAAAACGGGAAAGCCGAGGGCACCTCCCGTTGTACTCGGAGTGTTCGTAGGACCTGGGGCCGCACGAACAGCAGCGGACGGAGCTAGGAGAAACCTGAGCCACCGACCGAACGGCTCGTCGTTTGAATCGTGACCTGGCACGAAAGCAAACAACGGAGAAACAGGGGCCGAGGGCGCGCCTGGAAGTGGACTGTCCACCAGCTCCGGTCCTGAAAGGACGGAGAAGCGGAACAGACATCCAAGATACTGAGAAAGGTCCTGCGGTACCGCCGGACAAAGCCGGACGGCACGGAGAACGCGTTCTCTCAGAGCTCGATGAAGACGAGGAAGCCATGGCTCGACAACTACGGTCGGAAAAACCTGAAAACCTGACAGGCACACCGCACGGACGGACGTAGACGCCACGAACGAACGGAGTGCAAGTGCAAAAGCAAGTCACAAGTCAAAGGCAACCGACCGAAGCTGCGAGCCAGCGGCTGAGCGGTCGGTTGCCGTTGCGTCCTAATCCAAACATCCCTGATCAAGCTCAGTAACGTCGAATGCATCGTTGTGCATGGACTGTGCCAGAGACACTGGACGATGTGGACCCTGCTCGCCATTGCGACGCAACGTGTAGGGCCTCGGAAATCAAAAGACTTTGAGCATCAAACAGAATGCTCGGAAAGGGCTGGCAGCTCTTGGAGCGCAAGCGATAACCAACTGCGAGAAACAACGCTGAAACACATGTTAGCACTGCTGCGACTTACCGCTTGATGGCCATCTACTGAGGAGATTGGAAAGCGAGCTCGTGCTTTTTGACAGTAGCCCGGGACAAGACAAGGCCTTAACAGCTACAGGCCAAGTTCAGCTTTTTCTGTCTGAGGTTCTTGCTTACTGATAACTGATATTGGTGAATTTCAGTATCAGTAGCGAGCATAATCTTGCTAACACCGTCCACGTAGTGCGGTGCTTCTATATCTTCTAGCTAGTTCAGAAACGCTTGTGTCATGTCTAACTCCGCATGTGCTAACTCTTGCAGACCGCCTTCTACCTGCATCACGCTCCAAGTATCCAGCCAAAACATCGCAGCTTCTCTTTGTCCTGTAAAAAGCTCTCGAATCTCTCATATATGTAAATTTGTCGACTTTCTGTATGTTGGAGGTCTTACAACTGTCGTCTTGCTCGTACGCGATAGTTGTGCTTCCGTAAGCACTTAATGTTCTGATTGGATGATGCTGCTTATGAGGAGTGATGTATTGGAGCAAGCGTTTCCATGGATTTGTCGGTCTCCCAGCTGCTCAAAACCTGCGTTGCTGATTGGGTCTACGAAAACTTCTGTTTGTGCATTTTTGAACTTCATCAGTTCTCTCTGACTCTTCTGGAAGCAGCTGGACTGCAACATTCCAAAACCATGTCTCGTCCAATTGAGGTCGAAGGTCGCTAAACTCTCGATGTTCCATGCTGAAGACGTGTTGTCACGATGCCTCTGCTGGAAGCCGGTGTACAAGTCCCAGTGCGAACATGTGCGAACGTGCTAGTTTTCTTGGCACAAACGCTACGAGTAGTGAAAATACGTAGCATTCTCGGCTTTGGTGTTCTCAGCAAGCATGTATCAAGTGCAACGTGCAGTGAAGTTCATGCTTCCCATTCGATCTGAGCAGCAATTCCTCGTAAACAGCGTGAAGAGAGGCGGCGCACCGACAATGAAATCAAAACTAACCCAATCTCGACAACTATGCATCTGGAGTTGCTTTGTTTGTTCTTTGGTTGCGTTGTTGTTTGATATCTTCTTTGCTATGCTTGGTTGAGTCTGTGCCTTTTCGGTTTCAGTGCAGATGCGCTGCCGCTCTTCGTACTATGTACATGGACTTGCTGCGTAAATCGCCAAACGCAAACCTTGTAGTGCTCGTTGCCGAGAACATCAAATGAACGAATGCTATTGATATCTTTGCTATGTGTACCCATTGGCTTGTGCTTAAGGAGTTTACGGATGCGATTGGTTGGGTGTTACGAGTAGTTCGTTCTACAGTTCTACGATGTCTGCAGTGACCGAAACGGGCCCTGTATTCGAGTACATAACTCGATGCAAAGCAGCATTACCAACGTGTGTGAGCTCCCCGACAATATGCATACCTCTGACAGCACTACTCCTGTTGGTGGTTTAAACTTCTCTGACTTTGCTACTACTATACTCTCTATACTCGTATTGCTAGCATTTCGAGTATCCGCCGAGGCCGGAGGCGGGCGTTTTGGTTGAGTTCCGTGGGACCATGTTATTGCCCTCCCCCCTTACCCCCCTTGTCCTCTGACAGCGGTCAGCTCTTCGTTTTCGGGGAACGAAGACGTGCATTGAGCTGGACTCGCCAAGCCCCATCAATCGGTCGACGAAGCAGCGACTGGCAAATCCAGAACCCCAACCGGCCACGCTGGAGCAATGTGGCTTGGGCTTGAGCTAAGCTCCTCGGCCGTTATTTTGTTTTCGACGAACTCTCAGGCTGTTGGACAACTGGAAAGCCTCTGGCTTGCTTAGCTAGTTCCCGACCTCAGCTGGCGCCCTCTGTTTAGATTTCTGAGGGTGAGTGCAAAGCAATCCATGGAACTCTTGGCATTGCCACTGGCGAGCTGCTGTTGCCATGTGAAAAGCCGTGCGCAAAAATGACGTTTTGCATGATGTACTGTACGCTGCTTCATGTCATGACATTCTTGGCATGCATTTGCACGCCTTCCCTGACTCACTCCACTCCCAAAACCTTCTCCCTACAAACGAAAACCGAGATGGAATTGCGGCGAGGACGTCCTAAGACTTACTTAGACTGACTTCCTTCCTGCCCTCCAGTCGAGTCCAGTGCATGGCATGATGCAGACGGCAGCGCCCAACACATGTGCCCGCCTGGGTGAAGTCCTCAGACTTATTCTGAGTAATGCTTGGTTTGTGGCAAACGGTCATGTTTTTCTCCCAGACCTCGGTCTCACGTCATGTAGTGTAGCTGAGCCTAGGCAGATAAGAGATGTCGGCAACCACGCAAGGATGGTGAACCACCCTTCAGTGCGCGACTTGCTTGTACTTCTTGCCGCTCCTGTCCAAATACCGGTGGAACAACAACTGAGAATGCTATCTCGCTGATATCCTCGAGTCTGCTGTTTCCAGGATGAACTTTGTCGAAAAAATGTTGGTCAACTTGGCGCCATAGCCTGCGGATGAGCTTGTAGAAGCCTACACCTCGCAACCACCCTTCTTCAGGGCATTGTGGGCAGGGGTAGCAAAGGTGTGGGCGCAAGTGTTCAGCAATTCTGTGAGAGTGTCCAAAGAAAATTCCAATTTGTGGTTGCAGCAACAGCAGCAGCAGTGGCAGCAGCAGCGACATCAGCAGCGGCAGCAGCAGCAGCAGCAACAGCAGCAGCAACGGGTTATTGAAGGAGACTGACCCAGCTTGCCAGCCAAACCAGGAGACTGTGCGGAGCTCGTGACCAATCGGCGCATGGTATTCTGGGTCTTCTGTCTTATTTGATGTCCCGAAATCCTCCCACACGTATCGAAGATGGACTATTCCTCTCATCAGAATCATCTTGGGCGCTGCACCGTTACGTCCGCCGACAACCTTTTTCTCGCTGTCGTCATAGTTGTCGCTTGTGAGCAGATGACCTCATCCGACCACTTACACACAAACCTGAATCATGCAAGAAGGTCAACCCGAAGGCCCATGCCGAAAACCAGTTCAGGGACGTAGCACTTGTGCTCCCGGTGCATCTGGCATGAAGGAGCGATGCACACGCGGAAGCGTCCGCATCCCGTGAAAAGAAAACATCAAGCTGATCAGCCTGAATCGGCAAGCCAGCACCGTTGTTCCAAACACTCAGAGAGCCCTCTTTGCGCTTGACCTTTGCGAGAGGCACTGCAAACAACGACCTCAAGATGATCAATCAAATGCCTCGACCCGGATGATGTTCTGGGTCGGATCTCGGATGAGGTTGTCCGCGGCATTTACCTGCTAAGTGTTAAAAAGCTTACAACATGTGCCGGCGATATGCAGCAATCAATACCTACAATCAGTCATGACAAAGTCCATCAGGCACCAAGATCTCGTCGAAGATCTTGTACAATGCAGGCACATACCTGGAACAGAGCGCACACACACATACACCTTCCGTGTGGCTACGTCCTGCAAGCGTGAGACAGCTAGAAACAGGGCTTTCAAGTTCAGGGCGTGCCGTGAGTCCCTCAGAGGCTGAAGGAAAGTGAACGCTGAGACTGGTGCTCAAGGCTTCTCTTTGACATCCTTTGGCTGGCCTTAACAGAATAAAGGAACACTGAGCATCTGCAGCAGATCTCACTTGAGTCAAAGATTCTTAGACTCGACTTTGTGTGTGGCAGTGTCAAATCATGTCAAATCTGTTTGACTAAATGGCCAGCTTCAAAAGAATTGCTTGGCACCTAGCATCAAGCACCCAGTGCTCTTGCGTTTGTCGCTCGATGGATCCGACCTTGTAAGGTGCAAATGTCACAGGCAACGCGGTGTGCTTGGAAAAGACTTTGAGGCTTTCGCATAGGAGTCCGGCCTCAGCAAAATGTGCCTTGCCGTGAAGACGGCTCATGACTGTGATCGTCGGACCGTCCTCGCTCGCCGGCCAAGCAACCAGAAGCTGGGGAGGCTGCTCCAGCTGGCTCTTTTTTTGGTAGATCTCTTCCACCGTCTTCCTGAGAAGAAAGAGCTTAGCTTCTACATTAAGACTATGAGGCATCTGCGCACAAGCAGAGGAGATTCCCTATACTTAGCCGAATCAACCCTTGCATTAAAGCTTCGGCTGGGCCTCAGATTCGTGATTCGAAAGATTTCGCTTCAACACAGTATTGATGTACTGTCTTCTCGCGGTTGGCTTCCCATTTTTGCCGATCTTGCGGCCATTGATTGGATGTGGGGCTGGCCTGTGAGGTTCAGGGTTTCGGATTTGGCTTTGGGGCTTGGAGTTAAGGGTTAAATTTACCGAATTGAAATGTTACAGAGTGGAGATATATATAAAAGATGTGGATTTCGACATGCGAGCGGAGAACAGCTTTCTCATTAATGCCTGCCGCACATCCTTGGACCTGGAGCTTCGGGTCGATCACAGACGAGACAGTCGAGGAGAAAAGCTGCAGGAATTTCACGGATGCCCCACTTCCTAAATTGCGCAGTGAGCCCTGCACAAGCTCGCCCCAATCTTGCTGATCCAAGTCAACAGTGTGCCTTTGCTTACGCGCCTTGCTGAATCTCGGGGTTAGGTCCGTTAGGTGTTCGAGCACATGTTGCATCCATGGACGCACAAAACGCGATCTTCAACATGGTAAGGCGTTGACACCTTCTCATTGCCAGCATGACCTGGAAACTGCGACCGCTCCAAAAGCACATGACTGCAGGGTTTGAAGGGAAACCCCGAATGAGGTCACTGCAGTGCTTGGTTCGCGAACAAACATTTCCAGGAAGGTTCTCTTTATCCACCTGCAAATTTCGGGCGCACATCACACTTCTGAACCTTGCCATGCGAGTCACATGCACCAGGGTGTGGAGCAGCTATGCAGTCATGGCACACGCACGGAGAGTCACCCAAGACTGGCAGACATGGAGGTGCTGAAAGTATGCTCTGATACGTATGAAGCTCATGTCACACATTTCGTGCATGCAATAGGATGCGCTTGATTGGGAATCGCTGCTGGCCATGTTTCTTCCTATGGCACTTCCACTGCCTCCGGAAGTCTTCTCCGTTTTGTAGCGGCCATGAGACGCGACCTGGAAGGACACATAACAGGTGGGCAAATCAAAGTGGACACAAGCATAATTTGCTCTCGGCCAGAAGCTCTGTAAGCAATGCGACGCCGAGCTTAGCAGCAGGCCGATGCACTGTGTGCTAAATCAGGGTCAACGTGGCAGCAACTCGACTCTACATAAATTACCTGGTGAACAGCCAAAATGGCTACAAGTAACACCTGCGTACTCTGCTGACTCCGCTGTCTGCGGAGAAAACGTAGTAGGGCAATTGAAGGTGTGAAAGTACTAGCCGGTACGCAACTTATACGACAAGCCTCCAGCTTGTGCTGCTGAGCTGCTCGCTGGATTCTCCGAGCTCCCAGCAATCATCAGCAATCCGTTGGATCGGAATCCGACGAGGTTACTGTAGCCGGTCACCGAAGCTCCCGACTCGAATCGTCGAAACAAACTTCGCCCATGAATTGAGATTCGACGAGAGGGAATCCCCCGTCCACAACAGGGCTGTACAACTGCACTGTGAAGTGCGACATGAAATGCCCTGTGCAGCAGACATGTCTCATGCATACAGCTCCAGCGGCCTGAATAAAGATCGCATGCTATACAAAGTTCCTTGGTATCAAGTGCCAAGAAGCCCCTGAGCTAAAGACGGGGCACACGTGAGGCTCCTGGCAACTACGACACCCGGCAAGCGCTGGGATGCTGAAAAAATATAGTACAAACCCAAAACTGCAGCCTTACGAGGCTTAGGCCGCGAGGATTGGAGAGCTCTCCGGCAACACAGTTGTGGTCTTGTGTCGCCGCTGGTCTCTACCCATCTTGTACTCCTCCTCCTCCTCCAGCTCGAGAAAAGTACGCCGCACCAGCACTTTCTGATGTGAAGTCTGCGATTTGCCGCGAAGTAGACGCTCTCTCCTCAATATCAAAGTGTGAGGGTGTGCAGCTAGCAAACAATGACACAAGTTCGACAAGTCAGATCAGCAAGCTGCCGAAACACAGGGTCTATCTGCACACGCCATTCTAGCTGCTAGCTAAAGCCGTAAGCACAACAACCAGCCGGAACAAAGCAAGCAACCACCAGCCGAAGTACGCGACTGTGCCCGGACTTGCGATCCAAGCTTCAGCAGCATCACGGAGGTGTCCGGACTGAAACGTGGCTCGACGCCTTCATGCATGCTTGGTGCTGTGGACCCGCCATTGGCACGCCGGTAAGCCTTGAACAGGGACGACGTGAAGAACCGAATGCAATCCCAGGTTCATGTTGCAATCCAAGTAGCAGTTTTCTGCAAGAGGAAGACTTCAATGAATCGTGTCCTCAAGCATCTCGCAAAGCATTGCTGTGCAACACCCCTCCTTCCGCTTCGTTTCTCCGGAAAGAAGCATTCCATGCGCTCTCATGCAAGAGCAACACAGCAACACCGTCTCCGTGCCTCAATGAAATCCACTGCTCACGGCGTACGGCACACTGATAGGGCATGAGAGTACGTCCATCCATGGAGTTGTAGGCGTCAATATTCTCCCCAACATTGGACAGCAATACTTTGATGTACCTTTGAGTTTTCATGACGGATACTCAAAATCTGCAGTACAACTACATCGTCATTCTGCAAGCTATTGCAAGCTGCGCTGCTCCGACAGGTAGAACTTGGAGCTGCCAACCGACTCCGGGTTGAAACCTAGCAATGCAGCAGAAGGCAATGACCTGCACCCCGAAGCATTTGCACAACAGCTCTCGTCACGTCACGTATCCAGCGATCCAGACCAAGGCGTTCTCCTGGAAACGATTCCAACATACGTCTCAGCAGTCGGACGGCAAAGGCCCCACCTGCCTTTGCAGCCTCTAGTGCTGCTTGGGAATTGAGCAGGGTATGTCCCTCCATATCTACGCTGATGATGACTGGTAGGGTTTCTTCCGGTCCACACTGCTACGATTGAGACCCGGTAAAAGCTCCATGCGATCCCCTGCAATCTACATAGCACCGATAGGAGTTGCTGTGTCTAGCACAGCAGCCGAAAACGAGCGAACAAAGTGTGCAACTTTAGACTTACGAGTATCTGCTCGTCTCCACTCATGCCGGTGCGAACAGGCTCCTGCAACGATTGTGGTCGTTGGCAGCTCGTCTGTAACCAAAGGGACCAGAGGCAAGCCACGCTTGCAACTCTGTATCGTCAAAACCTGAAACCCAGTTGCTGTTCTAGAATGCTGAGCCAAGAAAACACCGCAAGCACATGCACACTCGAATGAATCAAGCTAAGGAACCATGTAAAACGATTCATCACTCTCACGCATCGTGGAAATGCTCGGACCTTCATAAGCAAGCAAACCAACTAGGCTTCAGTGTGTGCTGAGCACTGAAGTGGATGGATGCACCACGAAGATCTAATTATGCCAACTACAGTCGAGAACAGAACATGACCGAGCCGTCTAGAGCTTCCTGATCTACCCTATGCATGCTTGCATTAAGCCCGCTGCCATTCAAGAATCTGTCTGCGACTCTTTGCGCTGACTCCAAGACAAGATTGAAGTGAATTGCAGACCAATAAACGAACCTTGAACGGTCTAAGAAGCAACATGCACACCATCTCGTTTGCTTGCATCTTCTGTCACACGTAAAACACAGTCTCAGCGGCTTCTCATGTGGCACATTGAAAACGCCAATCACATCAAACCTGCCATCCTCTTCACACGGATGGCACACCAACAAACCAGCACGACCGACTCCATCCTGGTAGAAAGATAACGCGCCTTAGCTGCAGTTGCTGAGAACTCTTGGACCGAAACTGAGGTCGAGAAAAGCATCGAGCATCCACCATCGAGCTGCTGTCACCGAAATCCGGATAGTCACGCCGGAGGTTCTGATAGCTTGCAGCAGACGAGCACCGCAAATCACTCGAATTCTTCCGGAATGGTGCTTCTAGATCGGCAAAAAGCAGACCTGACCGATGCCAAAGACTGGCACAGAAGACATCTTTGCTCTTGATCGTTTTGATCGCACTCTGCATGACAAATTTGGGAGCATTGCAAGCTCAGAAACTGCCCAGGCGAAGCAAACCCCAGGAGGAAAACTGTTGCAGAGTGGTAGTGCCAGGATCGTGCAGTTCCAGCAATTCGGGTGCGAAGACAGCCTTGGTTGGCTGTCTGCGCCAAAGAAATCTGACAAGCTTCGCGAGAGCAACGCAAGCAAACGTTACTACACAAGTGCACACAAACTACACCGAAAATGTCGTGAGTCACCTCCGCCGCGTTCTCATGCAGGGCCCTGCCCGCTCACATCGCGAAACAAGTCTCACACAACATTATTGCGAAAAACACGCATAAATCGCGAAGCAAACCCGGGCCTGACTTCTGGTCGCACCAGGACCTCTCGACGATGACACACCACATCACGTGTTGCTGACAATAATATCAAAGCGCGGTAAAAGAAATCTCGGCCGTGACTACATTTGTCTTCGACCAAGACGCATGGCTTTTAATCAGGGGCGGGTTGCGAACAACCACACCGCTCAGCACGAATTTGACCAAATGACCACCCCACTGGCATTCGGAATGGTATATGGCAGCTTTAGCCGAATGCCTGACACGCATTCCCAACAAGAAAGCGAGACAATGTTGGCTTTTGGCATGAAACTAGTGCAGGTGAAGCACTCTGCAATGTCCACCTCCACCCAGCTGTCGTCCAACAACAGATCTGGTGTGAAATCGAACCATTCCTGCTAATCAAAGCAAAAACGGCTGGAAAACGTGCTCAGGAGCGCCAAAGAGCAAACATCAGGAAAACCAGGTACGACGGCGCGAAAGTTCGTGTTTATATCCCTTAGATGTTTACACGGGCCCAGGAGGTAAAGGTCGAGAAATCCTACAACAACAAACAGTCAGGAGACCTCACGACTGTCTCAAGTCTTGATTCAGCGAAAGACATGGTTGGTGCAGATTTGAAAGAAGATTTGCAAGTCATACGCATCCACGTAAGGCAGAACGTGATTCGCAGATTGTGGCAGGTATGTATGCACATACAGACTTGCACTGGGTACACTGGGTAAGCACTCAAACATGTCCCGTACAGAATACGCATATAACGTCATACAAGCATGCAGCATGTGTGCACATGTGCGTGGCCTGGATTTATAGATACAGTATACACAAGGGCACATCTGTGCAGTGGTTGCGTAGGCACGACTGCACATGCACTGTTTATACATGTCACTGTAACGTCTATCAGCGAAAAATGCATGCTCTGCAATCCGAAGGAAATCTCCTCCACGTTCCGTGGCTCCATGGTCGTTGCTATGCGAATGCCGGCTTGCTTTGCTAGCTGCTAGCGTTCCCTTGAGCCAGCGCAGGTGCAGTCACCAATGAATGACAACCACGAACCTATGGTCATCGATGCAAGCTGCACAAAATGTCAAGACGGAAATCTGAGTAACAGCAACCTTTCAGGCTTTGGGTCGCTGCTCCACAAACGTAGCCTGAAGCTCGTAACGCTTGTGAAATTACTGACGATGAAGCTCGTTTCTGCCTCGCAGGTTTAGCGCACTTCTTCCGATCTCATCCGCTGCGCAGCTTCTTTGTGGCATTTTGTGGCCAAGACGACGCAGCGCTGGACGACATACCGACAATGTTTTTTATGGTTCGGTTTGCAGCCGCAAACTGGCATCATCACGCCATCTTCCGCCCTGAGCTAACCCCGTCTTCTTCGTCGGGAGAGGGCCAGCGCCTGCAGCAGATCTGCAGTGGCCAATGGCAGACCACGGACCTTCCGAGCGTTACTGTGAAGCGCAAATCGCACGTTTTCACTGGCTCGGAAAGAGCTGTACGGTATGCGATCCATTGTCATGCTCGGGTTTTTCCAAGTCGGTCGGGTAGCCGTTCTTCGGCTCAGAGCAGACCGGTGCAGGACGAAGAGTTGGAAATCGGGAAAGCAGTGGCAAACTTGAGTCTGGTTCCGAACTGAACTAAACTAGAAGTGCAAAAAAAAACGATCAGGAAATCCAAGCAAGACGGCGGAGCAATGCGTGTATTCAATGACCACCCATTCGATGTGACGGTTTGCCCCGTCCAACCGGAGGCACACACGCATGTCCACAATCGGAAGCACCGGCGTGTCTGATCAGAAACGACCCAGTAAAGGACAAGGCCCGAAGGTTCGGAGTACCATCTCCAGCAGGTCAAACAAACGGTATTTGTGCTTGCTCAGATTTGTGTTGCATGTCTATCCGACCGCATGCTAATGATTTATGTTGCGTCGTCTAGACCCAGGTTGTTTTACTGCCAAAAGGTTCGTCGGCTCGCGTGTAGATTTTGTCAACACTCTAGAGAGAGAGGGAGAAAGAGGGAGAGGAAGCCGGATGAAATGTTGAGCAGTGAACATCTTTATGAATGAAAAAACAACTTGTTACTTCCGTTGCACATAGCTTGGAGTACGGTTATACGGAAGATATACGTTCTCCAGTTTCATATATATATATATACACATACCATTCTGGCTCAAGGGTGGGAGGTGGGAAACCCCGTAGCTGGGGGAAGGCTCAGTCTTTTGTTGTACCGGGTGGCGGCGGTAATGTTCATGGGTGCATGCAGGCAAGTCACTCTGAAGTGCTAAATCTGATCGATCGCATCCACAGACTATTTGCCGCATATCGATGGTGGATTCACGAGTTGAGGGGCAAGCTCGACTCTGCATTCATCAAGATTGCCGGCCTGCGATTGCACGCTCCCGAATACCAGGAAATCCGGGCTGAGGTGGCGCGAAGTGTGTTCAGTTTCAAAAGCAGGCTGCCGAGGATTTGGAGGAAGCCTTGGAGATGCCTTGAGGAACACCGAACGCCGACTTCAATAGCTTTAGCAGAGATTGTTGAAAATTGTTGCTGATTCGTGTGCTCTTATCTCATGCATGTTTTCACTACTTGCAAACATATAAACAATCCACAAATATCAAATGAGACATAAGGAAAATTTCAATCACATTCTGCATACGAATCGCGCCTTGTTTTCAGCATGGGGCATCCGACGATCTTGGTCTTTCAGTAAGCTGAGCAACATCCTACACGTGTGAAGGTCCCGCAATGTGTTCAAAGAGAATCCTGCAATGAGTCCCGCAAGTGCATGTCCGGCAATCACAAGAAGAGGCATCCGCAGATGCGAAGTTGGTTTCCCCCCAGGGTTGGGTGTGTGGGAAAAAGAAAACTTTGTTTTCTGCTC